CTATTATAATTTATTCAGGTACATTCATGATGCTGCATATTGGTACATCTACACTTAGTCTAGGTTTGTTTGATCTGACATAATATATAGATGTTTTTTTGCCAATAATTCCAATAATATATCTTGGGAGTCCTTCACATGTTTGGCATGTCACAATAATCAGCCGAAGCAATTGGACAAAGTTTAATTTTACAAGATTCAGGTTCTGCTTATCTAACAAAACTATGGTAGAATACTGGGATGTTATCAAGATACCATTTTTTTATTGGAAGTAATGCTGATTCCATGAATCAGGTACATGATTCATTGAGATACAACTGTTTTAAGATATGATTCACGCACGGCTTGAAATTTCACGATCATCTTATCTTGAGGCGGCCAGCATTCTTTGATTACTGGATCATCTGAGAAGTTCTGCATCCATGCTGATAGTAGTGGAAATTCCTCTTCATCTGCCAATTTCAGATCCATTATCTCTTCCAGGATGCTGATTATATTAGCCATCCTACCAAATGCAATATCAAGATATCCAATTGTCTCTCCCCCGAAGAATTTCTTTTCTTTCAGCAGCTCTTCAATGAGTTTCAGGTTCTGGACAGTTGCCGCAATATGCTCTTCTTGCTCTTTTCCTTGAGTAGTTAAAACATTCCATATTGATGAAGTAAGCTGTATTGCACAACGATGGGTATTATTGAGAGAAGTTCGTATTTACTTTCTACAAGAGAAGTTAGAATATCATGTTTTGGATGTTAGAGACCAAATCTGTTGTCCTGAACTTACTAGTTCCCTTGGCTATCAACAATTCCTTTTTGACCCGTCGGTAAATCACCTCTTTTTAGCAAGGAAGACGTAAATGCGTTTTTTTTGACTCCTCGGCATATTACACCTTGGCGTCTTCCGATTTGCTAAGAAGAGTCTATGTACATAGGTGTCGAATGTATTGGGGGATAGCACATCTAAATATGTCTGGATTAGGAATCGAAATAACTTTTAAGGCAAAGAATTTTTATACCTTGTCATCTCCAAATTTTGCCCAGAATCGTGCTTTGGCTTTCTCATACGGATCTCTTGGCAAAAGAGGACATTGTTTCCATGTCTCGTCAATATACTCGAGAATTACAAGTGACTCACAGATTGGCTTACCGTTGTGCACAAGTACAGGAATCTTCCTGTGAATGGGATTATACCGCAGGAGTGAATCACTCTTGCTGCTGAGATCTTCGAATATTGTCTCGTATTCTAAGCCCTTAATCTTGAGTGCGTGTACGACCCTCAAAGCAAATGGACTCGACCATGTCCTGAAAAGCTTCAATTCTTCAGCCATTTTGTTCTCACAGGTAACTTCGTGACGATCAAGGGTCTGTTTATATAAATTTTTCCTTTCTTTAACATACAATACGCTTTATAAATGTAAAATGTAGAATTTTAAACGTGCATATAGTCTCAAATTTTTGAATTCCTTCAATAATGTGAATTTATTTCTATTTATCAGCTGTGACTGTTTTCGTCAAAGACGACGGCTGTGAATATCTGCATTATGAGGCTGCTTTTGTTTTGCGTGTACGGGTTCTGTGAACGCCCCACCGATATAGAGGACCCACCTCTATAAAAAAATAAAATTACCCACCTCCATGTCAGTTGTCGTGTAGAGCAATTCCTAGTTGAATATCCTTTTATGGTAAATGTACATAGCATTTCCCATAAGAAAAATGCTAAGTGTACATAATAAATGTACACAATGGATGACATAATGTGATGTGGCAATCATCCTGTCGTTGATGTGAAAGTGTCAGATTTGAATTAAAGGTGTTGATCAATGCCACTTACAATTATGTAAACCATTATGTAGATCATTATGTACTTGTAGCATCACTCTTCCCATAATGCTTCATATAAGGGGCAAGTGGCCTCCAACACATAAGGGGCAAGAGGCGCCACTTGCCCCTTATGTGAACCATTATATGTACTGCACTACTCATCCTTTTATTGAGGTCAATGTATTCGATGATGTTTGTACGTGTGGACTACATTTTGCTTGTAAAATATCAGTTTGACAATTGCATCTACTTCATTTTCAACACAATAATTCTGGTTTTTATATTATCCTGAGCTGTATGGAAAAAAAATATGCCCCTCAGCACAATTATTGGTGGGGTGTAAACAATAGGACATTAAGTGGAGTCATTATTGGAGGGACATTTTGCTTGTAAAATATCAGTTTGACAATTGCATCTACTTCATTTTCAACACAATAATTCTGGTTTTTATATTATATATCCTGAGCTGTATGGAAAAAAAATATGCCCCTCAGCACAATTATTGGTGGGGTGTAAACAATAGGACATTAAGTAGAGTCATTATTGGAGGGTATTATAAATGAAGTAAAGTCCATGACCGATATCAAGGGAAAGTTGCCACTATTATTGGGACCAATTTTCTAAGAAAGTTCTTTATTATTATTATTTGAAGCAATTTAGTTCACTAAATTGTAATTTCTCTCAATTGGGTCATTAGTTTTGAATTACACCACTCAGTGAATTTTTTTTTAATTATAAATGCGTTTTTAAAGTTAATGAATATAAATAGTGTATTTATTCTTTATTTGACTTTTTCTATGGTTCACCTTTTTTCCTCATTTTCTTTACTTGGCTTCTTTCTTTTCAATTTTATCAATTCTCATTTATTTTTGCTTAAAAATCAACCACTCATATTTCTATGCGGGAGCTTCATTTGCACAATATTTGATACATTTCCTTCCCAGTTATGCGCTGTACGTGTTTAATCAATTCGATACATCAACTCATACAATGTTTTGGAGATGGCAATAGCTTCTACGAGAGTCAAAATAGTTACTCAGAAAATAATTTCGAGATGACAAAAGCAAGATATTCATTATCAGTTCCAACAAGACCTTATCGAACAAATGAAAAATATGTGGAACTCATAGTACGTAAACAAAATACAAACTTTCGGCGACTTTAAATCTTTTTGTGATAATATACATTAAAATGGACCGGATGAGACTATAAAGGATCCTCAATTCTCACCCAAAGATAGTCCATGAGTATCTCAAATATCGAGATAAAGAAAATACGACATGGAGGCTCCTATTTTATATGACATGGCTAACTAATCATATTTCAAATAGAAAACAATAAACCACTGTATATACATAGAACAATCAAAATCCTATTTTACCAGGAAACAAAAATTTCTATTTTAGTTAGGACAATACCATGATCCAGATCATTCAATGATATTTAAGAATATTAGGGACGGAGACAAGTTTAATTGGTAGCCAACTTGTTCCTATCTTGTTTCCGAAGTTCTTTTTAACAACCACTTTTTGACATTTCCTAAGATTTTTTCAATCATTCGGCTCTTGTTGCGTTTTTTTTATTGCAAGTGTACGATATCGTAACAAGTGATATAAAGTACCTATGAGTTTGAATTATTATTCCCACAGAGACTATTATTCAAATTTTAATTTACTATTTCTAACTCCTAGTTAACGAAAAACAGAGCATAGTTGTAATTAATGATCTAAATTATTTAATTATACTAATTTTATCTAAACGCACACAATCAAATCAACTTAGGATTTTAACGTATGAATGTGGATGTTAGTACTAACAATTCATATAGTGATCGCTTTTAATTTGCAGATCAATATTCATTAATTATTGTAGTATTTATTTGAATTCTTCTTAAGTAATGAACTTAACTCTCTCGAATTCAAATTGATTCTTCTTAATTCTTTCCTTTGGTTTCACTTGAAACCCCAGGGTCTTTCTCGATGGAATTCACAGAACCAAAAATCAGCATTGCATCTCAATTATATTTTAGTACATAGTTTCTAACAATTGGGCTATTGAATTTCAATTTTCTCTTTATATATTCCAATTTGTTCTCATATTTTCATGCACAAAATCAATGCCAAGATACTAGTAGCTATCTTTGCAGTTAGAAATTAGCTGTGTAAACGAAAAGAATGTGCAGCACTAAAGAATGACCCTCCAAAGAACTACCAAAATCACTTTACTAGCATTTTTCATCTGGTAGTGCTATATATAGTATAAGAATTTCTGCTAAACTTCTTGCAAAATCAGATGGTTTCAAATGGTGAAACGGCTCAGAGGATGTTCTCGAAGAGGTTGGTATTTATACTATGACATGGAAATAGAAATATTTCGAGAAATCTTTTGCATATAATCGAATGTCTGATTCTTTTTTTGTTCTTTGTTTTGGTAAAGATTAATTGGCAAAGTTGCTGTTATAACTGGTGGTGCAAGAGGAATAGGGGCTGCCACGTCGAAATTGTTGGCCGAAAATGGAGCTTATGTCATAATAGCTGACATACTGGATGAATTAGGGGCAAAACTAGCCGATCTAATTGGAGGCCGATACGTACACTGTGATGTCTCGAAAGAATACGATGTTGAACATGCAATTCAATTTGCGTTAAAATGGAAAGGACGAATAGACATCATGTTCAACAACGCTGGCGTAGCAGGACCAGAAGGGAGCATAACGAACCTCAACATGGATGATCTGAGGGCGTTGATAGATATAAATTTGAACGGAGTAGTACACGGAATCAAACATGCTGCTCGTGCAATGATCGAGGCTAAAACAGGCGGTGCCATAATATGTTCATCA